TAGTGAGCTTCACCTGCGACACGCTTCTGGAAAAACATAGAAAAATAACTGCATGAAGGACAAAGCAAAGGAGAGCAGATTTCGAGAATCGGATAAAACAGACGTGTTTTGTGTTACTCGACGAGTAATGACCAAGGTGACCGTCATGGTAGGTTGCTGCAACAGCGCTAAGCACTCCATTCTGGAGCACTGGTGAACATCAGTCCCAGCAACGCTGCACACGCGGTCGCCCACCTGCAGACCGCTTCGAGAAGCGATCGAACATGCATCCACCTGCTCCACGCGCACCGACAGTACCCTGGAAAAACTTCTCAATATAACTACTAAGAGGGCAATGCGTGGCTGCCAGATGTAAGTGAAAGCGCTTTTCCATCCCGTTTCGCTTGAAGATACACAGGTACAATGATGTCTCACTTGACGTTGATAGGAGTCACGTGCATTTTCAGTATGTGACAAAATCTCCACTTTTATCAGCGGAAGAGTTGAGGAAGTACGGTACTCAAAAAATTTAATAAAATAAATAGAAATGCTTCGGTCCATAAACTAGCATACATTTTTTGCCAATGCCGTAACTGGTCCTCGTCAGTACGGTGGTTGGGGCAGGATATAAATTTGCTAAAAAGAAAATTAGAAAAAATTAATTAGGAAAGTTAAATTTTTAAAGCAGAAGTCGCCAACAGTTTGTTTGTAAGCAATCCTTGAAACAACGAGCCACCAATAGCCTTTCTGGCGAGTGCTTGCTTCCGGTGGTTTCCTACCGGTTGATCTACCTCAGAATGCTCTACTGTTTCTATGTATGAGTAGTAGACGGGGTATCCATCATTTTTAAAAATGAAGCAGCATGTAAAGGGCGAAAAAGGACGGTAGTACGCAAACTACCTGTTATCCTCATCGTCGCTTTCAATGGCGATTCCGAGGCCAAGCCGTTCAGACGGCGCCGACCGACGAAGTACGATCTGTTTGCACAAGAGCTCGTGCATGACGCCCGGCGCTCGCCTCGATCTTATAGCTGCATTCTGCAATAAATATCATAACTAGTAGATAGTTGCTGCAGTTATCCAAATTTTCTGAAGTTTTTGCGAAACTTGTGAAAATGAAACACAGACTGTTTTTAAATATGTCCATCGTTACACAAAATGTTTAGATTGATCCCCTATCTTCGATCCTAATTTTGTAGGTGGTCTGGGTGCGAAAACCCTCAAAAACCGCCGTATTCGCAACAGCACGTGCACTTTGCTTAAAACAACGCGGACATTTAGCAGGTGAATGCGCCAACATACGGAATATCTTAAATATCCAAAAAGCACGAAAATTCCAGATTCAAAGATTCCTAATATTATAATCAACTGAACGTACAAATTAGGATAAAACTGGGAGGGGGTGGGAGGTATCTGCTGTGATTATGCATTTTTGCGGCCATTTAATCCAGCTGCCTTCTCGCACATGGACGGAGAACATCCCTCTGGAATTTGACCTCAGCCTTTTTTTTTTGGTTCCCTAGTTAATAAATTCTCATCCGAAACTTTCAGTTGTCCTTAAGTTAGCTCTGCAC